CTCCAGGACTCACATCCAGGACACACTGAGGCAAGAGGTGGGTTCCCATGGTCTTGGGGAACTCTGTCCCTGTGGCTTTGCAGGGTACAGCCTCCCTCGTGGCTGCTTTCATGGGCTAGCATTGAGTGTCTGTGGCTTTTCCAGGCATACGGTGCAAGCTGTTAGTGGATCTATCATTCTGTGGTCAGAAGGATGGTGGCCCTCTTCTCACAGCTCCACTAGACAGTGCCCCAGTAGGGACTCTGTGTAGGGACTCCACACCCCACATTTCCCTTCTGCACTGCCCTAGCAGAGATTCTCCATGAGGGCCTCACCCCTGAAGCAAACTTTTGCCTGGGCATCCAGGCATTTCTACGCATCTTCTGAAATCTAGGCAAAGGTTCTCAAACCTCAATTCTTGACTCCTTGACTTCCACATAGGGACTCCACACCCCAGTAGGGACTCCAATCCCACATTTCCCTTCCACACTGCCCTAGCAGAGGTTCTCCATGAGGGCCTTGCCCCTGCAGCAAACTTTTGCCTGGGCATCCAGGCATTTCTATATATCTTCTGAAATCTAGGCAGAGGTTCCCAAACCTCAATTCTTTGCTTCTGTGTACCTGCAGGCTCAACACCACATGAAAGCTGCCAAGGCTTGGGGCTTCCACCCTCTGAAGTCACAGCCCAAGCTCTATGTTGGCCCCTTTCAGCCATGGCTGGAGCATCTGGGACACGGCACCAAGTCCATAGGCGGCACACAGCACAGGGACCCTGGGCCCAGACCATGACACCATAGTTTGCTACTAGGCCTCTGGGCCTGTGATGGGAGGGGCTGACATGGCCTGGAGACATTTTCCCCATGGTCTTGGGGATTAACATTAGGCTCCTTGCTACTTGTGCAAATTTCTGCAGCTGGCTTGAATTTCTCTTCCAAAAATGGGTGTTTCTTTTCTACTGCTTTGTCAGACTGCAAATTTTCTGAACTTTTATGCTGTTTCCCTTTTAAAATGGAATTCTTTTAACAGCACCCAAGTCACCTTTTGAATGCTTTGCTGCTTAGAAATTTCTTCCACCAGATACCCTAAATCATCTCTCTCAAGTTCAAAGTTTCACAAATCTCTAGGGCAGGGGAGAAATGCCACTACTCTCTTTGCTAAAACATAACAAGAGTCACCTTTGCTCCAGTTCTCAATAAGTTCCTCATCTCCATCTGAGACCACCTCAACCTGGACCTTATTGTTCATATCACTATCAGCATTTTTGTCAAAGCCATTCAACAAGTCTCTAGGAGGTTCCAAACTTTCCCACATTTTCCTGTCTTCTTTTGAGCCCTCCAAATTGTTCCAACCTCTGCCTGTTACCCAATTCCAAAGTAACTTCTACATTTGTGGGTACCTTTTCAGCAATGCCCCACTTCCAGTACCAATTTACTGTATTAGTTTGTTTTCACACTGCTGATAAAGACATACCCAAAACTGGGAACAACAAAAAAAAGTTTTAATTGGACTTACAGTTTCACATGGATAGGGAAGCCTCAGAATCATAGTGGGAGGTGAAAGGCTCTTCTTACATGGTGGTGGTAAGAGAAAATGAGGAAGAAGCAAAAGCAGAAACCCCTGATAAACCCACATTAGATCTTGTGAGACTTATTCATTGTCATGAGAATAGCACGGGAAAGACCGGCCCCTATGATTCAATTACCTCTCCCTGGGTCCCTCCCACAACATGTGAGAATTCTGGGAAATACAATTCAGGTTGAGATTTGGGTGGGGGCACAGCCAAATCATATCAGTATCCATAGACTGAAAAAAAAAACCTCAGCCTCTACCTCAAATTTCATACAGAAATTCACTCAAAATTGATTGTGGAATGAAATGTAAAATGTAAAAATATAAAAATGTTAGGAATTTTAAAACAGGAGAAAATCCTAAGGCTCTCTGGATAGACAAAGACAACATCAAAAAGAATGATCCATGAAAAAATAAATTTCTAAATTTGACCTCATCAAAAGTAAAACCTTTTCTCAGTGAAAGACCCTGTTAACGTCAAAACATCATGTTGTATGCTGTAAATTTTTGTCAGTAATACCTCAATAAAGAAAAAAATAAGTAAACTTAGCAAAAGATCAACATAATAGTAAATGGCTACTTGCTTTATCAATTTTTTGAGGAAAATATTTAGTTGACTAACTACTGAGCTGGGTTCAAACTCAATCCACTATTAGATTCACTGATACTTCATTATTTATTAATTATTAAATAGGAAAATTTTAATTAATTGTGTTATATGGTTAATTTTTCAATTAGTCCATTTGCTCTGAATACAATTCTGAAATCCTTTAACTGATAATTTTGAAAATAACAAAAAATACAAATGTGAAAAAATTTGTATGTATAGATGTAAGTTCAAGAATGGCTAAAATAATCCTAACAAAGAAGATTAAAATGGAAGGAATCACTCTGCCCTATAATAAGGCTTATGCTATAGCTACTGTAATCACAATAGTATGGTGTTGGCAAAGGGACAACCATATATAACAATGGAACAGAATAGACAATTTAGATAACATACAAATATGCCCAACTGTTTTCTCACAAAATACAAAAGCAATTCCATGGAGGAAGGATAGCCTTTTCAACAAATAGTATTAAAGCTATTGGACATCCATAGACCAAAACAGACAGACAAAACAAAACAAAACAAAACAAAAAATGCTCTCAACCTAAACCTCAAACTGTATAAAATTATCTCAAAATTGATTGTGGACTGAACTGTAAAATGCAAACATTTTCAGTAAAAAAAGTAGAAAATCTTCAGGGTCTCAGGCTAGGAAAAGACTTGACAGCAAAAGCATGATTGGTGAAGCAAATAATTTTCTAAATTGAACCTCATCAAAATTAAAACGTTTTCATGGTGAAAAGACAAGAGTTTGAAAAGACAAGCTATAGAGTGGCAGCAAATATTTGCTGACCGCCTATCTGACAAAGAACTAGTATGTAAAATATATAAAGAACTTTCAAAACTCAAAAGTAATAAGCAATCCATTTAGAAAAGTTAAAAACAGATATTTTATGGAAGGGGATATATACATAGCAAATAAGCACATAAAAAGGTGTGCAGCATCATTAGTCATTAAGGAAGTGCAAAATAAAACCACAATGAGGTATGACTCCACACCCATCAGAATGGTAAAATGAAAAATAATGGCAATACCAAATGTCAGGAAAGATGCAGAGAAACTGGATTATTCTTACATCACTGGCAGAAATATGAAATGGTACAGACACTCTGGAAAGCAGTTTGATACCTTCTTACAATACCCAACATGAACTTGCCATATGATCCAGCAATTGCACTCTGGGGTGGTTATCACATGTAAATGAAAACTCATGTTCACGCAAAAACCTGCACACAAATGTTCATGGCAGCTTTTTTCATAATTGCCAAGAATTTGAAACATCCCAGATGTCCTCCAATGGGGGAATGGTTAGTCAAACTGTGGTATATGTGATATTACTCTTATGTGGTATATGTGGTATAATCAAAGCAGTAAACTACTAATATGCACAAAAACGTGGATGAATCTCTAAGGAATTATGTTGAGTGAAAAAGCCAAAGCCAAAAGGCATTATTCCATTTATATCACATACTGAAATGACAGAATTTTAGAGATGGAGCACAATTAATGATTGCCAGAGTTGGGGACAGAGTGGCAGGGGAAGAAATGTGAAAAAAGTTGGGTGGTTATAAGAGAACAACATAAAGGATCCTTGTGGTGATAGATCTGTTCAATATCTTTAACGTGGTGCAGATATACAAGTTTATAAGTGATAAAATAGTATAGATCCGAATGCAGACATACATATAGACAGACACACAGAGAGATGAGTATAAGAGGGGAAATGTGAATAAAATCAGTCAACCGCATCAATGTCAGTACCCTGGTTTTGATATAATATTAGACTTTTGCAAAATGTTACCACTGAGAAGACTGGGTAAAGGATCCTAGGAAACCTCTCTGCAATTTTTCTTACAACTACATGTGAATCTATAATTATCTCAATAAAAATGTCAATTTAATAAAGATATTAGACAATATCATACTGAATCTTGAATCCTAGTCAAGGAGTTTGAACTCTTTTCAATAGCTAGTTGAGACCCATAGAGGCTGGTTGAGTATAGATGACTTGATTAAGAGCTATAGATCAAAAGAACCAATATGATGGCAGTGAGTGTGATGAATTAAAGGAGATGTTACTAAAGGCAGTGGCTCAAAAAACCATAGTCAGACATCAAGTTAGAGTTAATATTGAAACCAATATTGTGCCCAATGAAGTGTACAACAGATCCATGCCTATGGCCACTTCAGCAACCACACATCCAAACCAAATGCACTTTGTCCATGTTCTTTTTTTTATAATTTGCACTATATTTGGGAATCTGATCATAAAATAAAATCACTTCCAAGATTTATTTTGCTATATTGAGCTCGTTCTTTTATGCCATAATCTTAATATTTTGTAAAAATGAAGACATATTTTTAGTTTTTGGTTTCAATAGTTTTATAATCATATAAATGTGCATGAAATATGTTTTCCAGTTATTGTGGTAATTGGTATTTTTGAAAAAATCATTTTAAGGTGTTTGAAGATTGAAAAAAACATATTAGACTTCTGGTTTAAATTAATTTTAACTAAATATTTGTAAAATTTTGATTAAATAAGTTTGTAATCAATGTTTAAATGTCTGAGGAATGTAATTTGTTAATTGATTTCTTAGCTTTGTAGCCAGCATTAAATTTGCAGGGAATATTATTTAATGAATTTATACATTTATGTAATTTTGCCTGAGATAAAATACAACAAGAGTGAAGCTCTTCTCCACGCACTAAAGATTCCAGGAGACCATCAGATTGCAGATCAGGGCTCTCTCCATCATACCACACTGCCCTGGAAAGGTTTACATCCTCTTTAAAGCCTCTCTGAGCTGCTGGCTCCAGATCAAGGAGGAATAGGCTTACCTTATGGGGTTGTCCATCCTGGACACTGTGAGGAAGGCAGCAAGGTTGGCTGTGTAAGAGGAGCACACAATGAGCGTGAAGAGCCACCAGCTGCCCATCACGATGCGCATGGCCACGGAGTTCACGGAAGATTCACCACCTGCGGGAGGCAGACAAAGTGGATTGGCCAGTGGCTTCTGGTCTCCCTCTCATCCCCAGGGAGGTGCTCTGCCCTGCAGTCAGGCACACAGGCTATCACTGGTGAATGGCTGGGAACCAGGGAGGTGACTGCCAGCTGGCTCTGGGCATCTGTGCCAATTCTGGGATAAGATCCTAAAATCATGGATCTTGGACAGGGGTAGAGGACCACAAAATATGGAAAAGTTAGGATTGGGCTTCTAGTGGTGTGGAGTTCATCAAAACACCAAGGGTGGGGTCTGAATATGAAAATCTTTCAGTTAGGAGATTCTACCTCACAGTGGCAAGAACTTCTAGGGCTGCAGCCTTATGTAAGATCCCTTTCCAATTTCAAATTCATATATAGCAGACTCGGGAATTCTGTAAATATAGAAATACCTCCCACGTGGAGGGCTCCCTGGCTTTTCTTTTAAACTTCAGAAATGGGATGTCCCATATCACTTTTATTAGTATTCAGCCCTCTCTAGATGGCTTTTCTTCCCCCAGAATTTTCAGAAATCATGGCATGAGACTTTTAGTTAGAAGTTTAGCCTCTTTGAGGCCAATTATTTCTCCTTGGTCTCTAAAGTGTTAGGAGAAGAGAGCTTCTCACTGCTTATCTCCTTACATAACCTCACAAAGCATTTGCCATGGTGCAAACAGGACCAACACTTGCATTAGAAACTTTGCAATTTGTTGCTCCAGTCACAATGGCACAATCCTATAACCCACTACTGGATAGAAGTGCCATTCAGACCCCTCAGAGGTAGGAGAATTTGTACCTCAAGAATGGCTGGAGTACTGCTTATATGATTGCAACACAATTGGGATTTTTTTTTCCCATTAAGTCATCAAATTTAAGCAAGATTCACAGTTTCATTGACAACCTCATGTGCATAGCAATCACTTTAATGTAGGAGGGGAGAAAAGTGCAAAGCAGAACTCCAAAGTTAATTTTATCTAAAATGGAGAATCAGGAATTGAAGTTGAGTTCCTTATTGTTGTTTCATTTAATTTATCTCTGATATTATTCAGGGAAGTTGGGTGCAACATGATATTTGTACTGTCCTAGAGATTAAGTAAAATTGCATTTGAAATGACTTTGGCAAAATGCACCTGAGAACTTTGCCAATGGATAAGTTCTTCCAAGCCCCTAGAGCTATTCAAGGATCAGGGAATCAGAAAGGTACCTTGCTGTACGAAGGCTCCATAGACAATCCAGATGGCACTGTGCAGAGTAGCAGAAGCTGATGGCCTGGGCTGGGCAGCACTCTGAGCCCTCACAGCCTGTATCCTGTTCAACACAAATATCAGCACACCAACCACGGGGATGGCTGCTGCAATGCAGGCCCACACAGCAAAATCAAATGGAGCAAAGAGGGAGAAGATGCTGATTTTCTCCTCAGGTTTCTTGATTAGAATTCCCACTGAATAGTCCATGTACCGCTTGCTGAAGTCCACAACGCTCTCCCTTTCTGGGGTGATGGTGATGGCAGAGATGGCCAAGTCTGCTCTCTGAAAGGCAAAGCCATCTCATCAGACGGCAGTCCTCAGCTTACTGTTGGGTTCTGCCCTGGGTCAAGGTCCACCTTCTGCCCTTTGAACTGCTCTTTTCAGAGGAATGGATTTGAGAGCTGGCGCCCTGAGAGTCTGAATATTGTAAGGAAAATCCAACACTAAGTTGTCTGTTACTATTTCCTTTACCTTACAAGTTTCTCTCTTCTAAAAACTTCAGGAAACGGTTTCTACAGAAAAGAGCCGAGTAAAGCATCTTCATTTCTCTATGAATTACAGTTTATCTTCACTTTCTTGTTGTTTTCCTACCAAACTTTAGCTATCTTCTTTTTATTTTCCCTGTGTTTTCCTCTACCCTTCACCAAGAAGGCCCTTCTATCTTCTTCTAAGCCTGTCTGCATCCTCCCTACATGTTAAGACCAGAGGCACACTCCATTTCTTCATCACACCCCTCAGACTCTATTATCCCACATTGATCTCTCTCTTTTCTAAAACACTTCAGAAGTTATATGGTGAGTTCTACAACTATGTTAGACTTCATTAACATATTAGCCACTGAGTGTTTTATAGGTAGACTTTATGCCAGGGAGTAGAATACTGAAAGAATAAAGGGATCATCTACTTACTTCTATCTTCCCCCACCCTTAATTCATGGCTTGCAGACCCACAGGTTGATTCTTCCATGATAAAGCCATGGTGTGAAGAATCTCTATGGACGTTCCCTACCATGACCTCAAAATTATCTCCCAAGATGTTTGCCTTCCAAAATGGGCTTCCATTTCAAAAACAGACAGAAACCCCATTAAGATGGATCCAGACTGTGAGGATGAAGCTGCCAAGTTTGGGGCGATTACAAGCTTCATGTCTGGATGGGTAGGTGCCAGGTGACAATGGGGCCTAGAGTCCTCCTTTAGTCACAAGAGCACTGAAAGGCAGTCATCATAATGATCTGGGCTCTTGGCCCTCCAAGTGGGAGGCATCAGCAGAACTGGTTTCTTTTAGAATGGCCAATAGTGACAACTGATTCAACCTCCATGCTCAAGTTGGGGAAACACATGTGGAAGGATTTTTTTAAGGTTTAATACGTGGGCTAGGGACAGATATACTCATGTCCTAAACTGAAATCTAATACTGTACCTTGAGTAAAGACAAAATATGGAGGTGACCCTATCAACACCCTCCTCTTACACTTGTCACACTGGCACCTCTGGTTCTTGCCTCTCTTCTAAAAATCCCAACATCCAGGGACTATTTTTAGGATTAGGAAGGTTTGGAGCATATTTAAGGGCTTAAAAAGAAATTTAGTGGAGCAGGATAGGCTTATAACACAGAATGAAGGTAAACTAATTTATGAAGCAAAGTTTGAAGGAGGCACAAAGGAATCAACTCATGACACAAGTGGAGGGGTTGTCCTGTGACAGTGGGAGAGACTGACAGGGGACAGGGGACACTCCCCTCTGTGGGAGATGGCAGGTGCCTGCAGATGTAAATTTCATAGGCATTAGAAGTACAATTTTATGCCCCAAAGTCTCAGTTTATTTCCCAATATAGAAGTGCAATCATTTTTTTTTTTTTTAGTTGGGAAGGATAGAAGATTCTTAGGTAGCTCAAGAAGAAAGGTAAACTTTTTAAACAGTCTCTGAGAGACATAGCCAAGGAGCCCAACAGAGGACAAGTTAAAATATTCTGGCAGTACTGAAGGGCCCAGCTGATTCTGGAGACCACACAGGGTTTCTACAGCAATCTGGACAGATTTGTAATTTCCTTCTCTAATTGAGTGCAGCAACCTAGATTTCAGAGTGAAGAGGATAGATAATAGAATCCATTCAGGCTTAGGGTGCAAGAAAAAAGTCGAGAACAGAGGGAGTCACAAGGGATGAAGGGAGGAGGGATTTATCTGGCCACCCATGGAGGATGCAGTATCAGAAAGGCACAGAAGCCGCAGAGAAAGATGGACCTCAAATACACACACTACGTGGAAAGAACCAGACACAAAAGACCACATCTTGTATGATTCAAAAGACCACATCTTGTATGACACAAAAGACCACATCTTGTATACAAAATGTTCACTGAAGCAACTCTATAAGATACAAAGTAGATTAATGGTTGCCTAGGGCTGGGGGTGGGAATGGCATTAACTATAAGTAGGTATGAAAGATCTCAATGGGGTGACAGAAGTATTCTAAAACTAGATTATAATGAAGGTTGCACAACCCAGTACCTTTACTAAAAATCATTGAGTTGTATATCTAAAATGGGTAAATTTTATAGTATGTGAATTTATCATAGTAAAGCTGTTTCTTAAAAAGATTAATAGAAATCAGAGGAATGACAAGCCTAGTGTCTGCCTTTACAGATTTAAAAAGCAAAGGGCCTTTGCTGTCAGAGTAAAGGTTCAAAAGAGTCAGAAGGACAACTTGTTGTGGTCATGCAGTGGGCTAGTGATGGTGACATGTAAGATGCTAACAAGATGCATGGGGGTGAACAATGGAGTGGAGCAAAGCAAAGCTCCCTGGAGGCGAGGATGTCAAAGTACTGGGAGTCCAGAGTTGTCTACAGGGATGTCAGAAGTTGTCAGAATGGTGGCAGGAGGAATAATGGAGATGGAAGACTTGAGTCAGATGCCATCATGATCAATGATCATGGGAAAACGACCCAAGGTCATGAGATGACAAGAAGGGGGACATGGTAAGTTGGCCTCATGCCATGAGTTTCAATGAGGATGCAGTTTCTACGGGAGGGAAGAAGAGTACGATTTAAATGAGTATGAGGACCTGCGGGATGCCACACCATCCACCCAGCAATGTAGACACACACATGTGTATGCATATCCTACCTGTGGTCTATGAGGGATAGGAGAATGAGCACTCACCAGTACCCCTGGTAGGAACTAGGTTTCTGCTTCCCACCAGGGAAGGTTCCCTGTAGGGTGTGGGGTGGTTCCCTGAAGGGTGTGCTACAGAGTAGGCACAGTGGATGATAGACTTCAAATGAATGACAGAAGTGGGCAGGGAGGTAACACAGAGTGTCAGGGATGAGGAGATACAAGAGCAGAAATGGATGTAGCAGGGGATTTGAGGACAAAAGAGCCTTTGTGTGTGGAGAATGGTAACTGTGGTCTGTTTAGCTGGTCCCAAGGTTTCCACGGTGCAACTGGTCAAGTTTAGATATTACCCCAGAGGAAGACTAGGGTGCCCCTCCCCCTGGATCTGCTGTGGGGACCTACCTTGCTGATGAGCTCCCCGATCATCCCGTTCCAGGAGGTGTTATGGAGCTGGTGACCATACCTGCCATCAGGGGCTTGATAAATCTCATATTTGAAGCCCAGAGCCTTGGCCAGTGCATCCAGGACATCTATGGAGAACCCTTTGTAGCGCTTGGGCTGTCCTAGGATGTTCTCAGCCACCATCACGAAAGGCTCTTCCTGAGGACAACAGAATGAAGGTTCTCCAATTAAATAACAGGTTCATTAACACATATCTTGAGTGTATTGTTAGAGAGAAAGATCTGATTAGAAGATTTGCAGTTCCCCAATTTAGGACTGGAGGCTCAACTTACCTGCCCTTTTCTAAAAGCCGTGTATGGACACTCAAGGAAGAGTGCACAGGATGATCACTCCAATCAGTAGGTCCATACAGAGGAGTGGAGATTCATTTGTCCTATGTTGTTATCCCGGGCTCTGCTCCAACCCCTACTTCCCTGAATAATATGGTTTGTTTTCCTTCCTCCATTTGTAACATCCATGCAGAGTTAGGACCGTGTCCTTAGAATATGCCAAAATTATACAAGGCCCACATAAGAAACATGAAACTTCTCATCCAGGATAATAAGTGGTGATAAAGTTCTGTGACATTAGGTTGAGAGAAAAAGCATTATGTCTACTAGCAATACTAGAAAGTGGATATGGATTAACTGGCCAAGGCCAGACCAGAAGCCAAAGGGTAAGATAGAATTCAAACCCAGAGTTCCGAGTTCAAAGCCATGCCACGCTCACACCTGCACATGTTGTGCTATGCCACATGTGAGCGAGGTGGTCGTCTGAAAAATGCCTCAGCGCTCACCACCTTTCCCCTTCCTTCTTGTGTGAAACTGAACAAGGGGCCTTTGGCAAACAGTTCCAGGGAGTATAGCTCATTAATTTAGTGGTGTTGGGAAACAGGGTGTAAAGCTTGTTTGTGGTGTGCAAACAGGGAATGCACAAATACTGCTGCCAAAGATTTCTGAGCCAAGGGAATGCTAGTGTCTGCTGGGACAGAAGGGACATTTGGGCATGTGTGACCCAGTCAATAAGAGGCAAATCTATAACGTCTCCTGCAGTTTTTATAAAAATGTGAAAAAAGCAATTGAAAGGAAGATGCTTTTAAGGTCTCTTACAAATGCAAAAGTCTATGATTCCACGATACCCATGCAGAAAAGTTGCAACTACCAAATGGTCTTCATTCTGAACTTGTGTCACATGAGCCCATCAGTAGTGTTGGGTGCTAGGAGAATGTCCTCCTCCAGCATCTATCTTGGGGTTCTGGCTACCAGAACAGCTCTCCTAAGGACCAGTAGTGGGTCAAGATCCAGTTTACATCCAAGAACAAGGGGAGCAGCTGGGCCCCCTCTGGTCCTCAGAGGAAGCTGTGGATGAGAAGTCCTTTTCTAGAGCAGCTCAGGGACTTCCTATGGAAAGCACAGAGGTCCTGGGGCAGAAACATCAATCTCACTCTTCCTTTCATTATTCACACAATTAGTTAAATGAAAGGCCTTATGAAAGCTCATAACACTCCTCAAGATTCTCTTCTCCCAAAACCCAGCATGAAACAGAAAGCAGCCTCTGATTCAACAGCCTGGATGGTGTAGCTCCCAGAATGTCCCCATGATCCTACCAAGACAGTCACCACTTTGAGAGTCAATCCTTGGAGGCGGCTGCCCATGGGCCTCTCTTGCAAGCTGCCATTCAAGCCCTTCTCTGAGTCCCACGTCGCCAACTGTGAAGGAAAAATAAAGATTATGAGGGATGGAACTGACACCTATGCACACCTTAGGACCTCAGCTCCTACACTGGGAGCCTGAATTAGGCAGGTAGGATAACAGCAGTCCCCTAGAGTTCCCAGAGACCCAGAGCCATTTTAAAACCCTAAAGAGAACAGACATATGGTAAACAGAGTTACATGTCCTCCTTCAGCTCACCTGGATCTCTAGAGCTCAGCATAGCCCTAAAATGAAACCAACTGGTGAGAACTTGTCTCTAAAACAAATGTTTATGTCCAGTTTTATTCTGTTCACCCACAGAGGCCATGTCACTGTGATGCCTGCAAAATACCCTCTTTGTTTAATTATTCCTTTGGCTTGCCCAGGCCACAAGGCCCTTGAGTTCAGCCATTGCTCCCTCCATAGGTAGGATGAGGCTCAGCAGTAAAGCAAGTAGTAAACGCTCAAGTGCACAGCTTGCCTTGCACCCCGGTGCCTATGGCAAGCAGGGTCAAGAGCTTCCTGCCTGTTTTCACTGTGGTGTCAGCTGCTTCATTTTCCTTGATAGGCAAGTAGAGGCTAATGGCAGGGTAAATGTGCTCTGAATCTGCTACATTCTCCTAAGCCTGCAGAGTGTATCCAATAGCCAGATGCATCTCTTACAGTCATCCTAAGGTGGTCACGGAGAACCTACCTTGGCTCAGAAACAATGAGGAGACACAGTTGTTCATGAGACTGCTTCCCCTCCCTGCATCCTTGCAGGGTCTATACAATGACAAAACTTTTGTCTGGGAAATGATTCTCAACTATTAATGGGGAAGACATAACAAAATGCAGATACCCAGCTCCATCTCAAGTCAACTAAATCAGGATCTCAGGGCCTGAGCATAGGAAGTTAATGCCTCCCGAGTGCTCCTGATATTGCAGCCAAGGTTGAAAACCCCTGCTCTTCTAGGTCACTGGCCCTCCAACTTGGATGCATATTAGTATCTCTTCTGGGGGGCTTTATAATAAAATGTACTGAAAGTTGGGTCCTACCCCCAGAGACTCTTATGTAATTGGTCTGTAGTGTACTAGAGATGAATATTTTAGCTCCCCAGGTGATTCTAATGCACAGCCAGAATTGTGAACCACTGTTGTTGATTAAAGCCATGATGCTCAAACTATGATATCCACACAAATCGCCCAGGGATTTTCTATGCACTTTCTGATTCTGGTGCCTGAGATTATTCATGTCTAACAAGCTCCCAGGTGATGCTGCTGATGCTGCTAATCCATGGACCACCATTTAAATAGCAGGGGGCTAATGGGTCAAACTGCCACAGGCAGTATATACTGTTGTCAGGGAAAAATCCATAAGATCCCCTAGTTAACCTGAAGAGAAGAAGAGCCCCAGTGGAAAAGTGCTACTGGGAGCCCTAAAGGAACCACCAACTATTCCACTTAAGAATGCTTCTACTCTCTCAGCATTTCCCATGGTTCTGACATCTGCAGCAGGGTCTGCACACTGAGCCCTGACTATAAGGCCATAGAACCTGAGGGGCCATTCCTCCTGAAAGAGACAACAACTCTGAGATATAAAGTAAAACCACCAGAATAAGAGATGGAGTTCTAGAGTCAGTTTAACAGAAACCTGGAATTTCCTGTTGTCACCTTGGACATGATGCCCAACAAGACCCACTCCATCCTAAATAATAGGATGCCTTGGTGTGATGAATAAATAAATTAGTAAAAAACATGGCCATGTACCCTGAAGAACCACCCACCACCACCACCACTAATTAATTTGGGGGCATTGAGATAAAGAACAAGTGAAGATCTACCCAAAATTCTGCTTAAAGACCTTGAAGATACCAATATACCACACTTTGGGTAATGATATAGTTTAAAAAAAAAAAAAAGCAAAAATCATGGCTATTTCTCCATTGGATCTTAAGAAATAGGCTGGGAGCTGTGGCTTATGCCTGCAATCCCAGCACTTTGGGAGGCCAAGGCGGGTGGATCACTTGAGTCCAGGAATTCAAAATCAGTCTGGGCAATATGGTGAAATACTGCCTTTATAAAAAATAAAAATAAATTAGCCAGGTGTGGTGGCATGCACCTGTAGTCCCAGCTACTTGGGAGGTTGAGGTGGGAGGTTCAATTGAGACCAGGAGGTCAAGACTGCAGAGAGCCGTAATTGTGCCACTGCATTCCAGCCTGGGCAACAGAGTGAGATCCTGCCAAAGAAAGAAAGAAAGAAGGAAGGAAGGAAGGAAGGAAGGAAGGAAGGAAGGAAGGAAGGAAGGAAGGAAGGAAGGAAGGAAGGAAGGAAGGAAAGAAGGAAGGAAGGAATTGAGAGAAGAAGGAAGGAAGGAAGGAAGAGAAAGAAATACAGAAAGAAAGCGGGGGGAGATTGAGAGAGGAAAGGAAAGGAAAGGAAAGGAAAGGAAAGGAAAGGAAAGGAAAGGAAAGGAAAGGAAAGGAAGAAATTGCATGAAGATGCAGAATCGATTCCTACAGCTGGATTAAAATGCTTGTCAGAGGGAAGAGGACAAATTCAGACAAATGGGGCCAAAGGGTTGATTGCCTCTATTCTTTGGATGTTCTAGTATGGACTCACTGGGGCAGGAGTGGATATTTATTTGGGGTGCCTGCATCTGCACTACCTTAACTGCTTAGCCCAGGTGCTGGAGCTGCTTAGCCCTGATGTGTATGCTGCTACTTCTCCTGGGTGTGGGTGGAGTTGTAGAGGTCTTCTTGACCATCCCAATGGCTCATAAAGTCATAACAGAAGCCATCTTGTCCTAATGATGATGCAACCATTCCAGACACTCCATACTCTATCTTGCACCAGGACCCTTTTGCCTAACATCTGCTGCCAAACCTTCCTGGCACAGTGAAGGGGCATCTTAATTCTCTACTGTCTTGGCTTGAGTGAGTGTTTGGAATGGGGCTCTGTGCATCTTGATCAAGAAGGCCTTCTCTGTCTTTCTACTGGGATTGTAATCAGAAATTAGAATGGAGGATGGAGGCAGGAAGAAACAGTTGGGATGAAGCCCTGAACATCATTCTCTACTTCTGGCCCACTGCTTGGCTCTAGGAGGCACCACCTCAGTCCCCCTAGATCTTTGCAACAGCTTTCTCATTGGTTTCATTACTCTCAACCTCTCTCTCTTACAGCTTATCCTTCAATAGGCAAGTGGGTACCCTTACAACAAATAAACTCAAATATGAACTATATTAATTAAACTATTCTAATGAATTCCTTTTTCCTACAGAATAAATCCTAAGACTTTTAAACTTGGCCTAAAAGAAAAGGAAAAGCCTTCCCCATCCAGAGCCAATCCTGACTCTCAACCTCACTTTAGTTTATGTAGTTACAGTATACTACAATCCCCAAAACTACTCCTCCTTTCTCAGGCACACCACATTCCCTCCTGATATTTGTATCTGGTTTCCTTCTGCCTGGAACGCCCTTTCTCTTCTTCTGGGTCTGGTAAACTCTTACTTGTTTGTTGAAATGAGACTTCACTTTAGAATAGTTTTAGATTTACAGAAAAGTTGTAGATGCTGTGCAGAGAATGTCAATAGATCGATACCCAGTTTTTCCCATTGTTAAGATATAACATTAGAATGACACATTTATTACAACTAATGAATGTTCAGCCTAATATCCATGATTTATGCAAATCTGCAATAGAAATGGAATAGAAGGATCTCCAGTTCCTTCTACTCTTGGCCTAAGTCAGTGAGTCAGCTGTGGCATTGGGCTTTCTTGCCATGTTCTCTGGGGTCAAAACCCTGTCTTCATAAGCTGTCTAGAGCCTCAGGCTCCTGGGCTGGACTTGGCCTTTCTCATTCCCATCTCAGGGTCTCCAACCTCGAATTCCAGGCTCTCCTCTCCAACATTAACTTCTGTAACTGAGGAAGAAGACAGGAACTTGGAGGTGAACTTAGCAGACGTTCATGAGTCAGTAGACCTATGTTCTAGTTGTTGTCATCACTTATGTGAGTGACCTCAGACAGCACTTGACAGCACAGTGCTTGAAACATAGAGTCAATAAATATTTTTTCAATAAAAATTGAAAGTACACTTTACTGAGATTCCATCATTTTCTTTTCTTTTTTTTTAGACAGGATCTCACTCTGTTGTCCAGGATGGAATGCAGTGGTATGATCATGGCTCACTGCATCCTCTGCCTCCTGGGCTCAAGTGATCCTCCCATCTCAGCCTTCCAAGTAGCTGGGACTACAGGAGTGCACCACTACATCCTGCAAATTTTTCTGTATCTTTTTTAGAGATGAGGTTGTGCCATGTTGCCCAGGCTGGTCTCAAACTTCTGGGCTCAAGAGATCCACTGACCTCAGCCTCCCAAAATGTTGGGATTACAGGCATGAGCCACTGTGCCCAGCCGATTCTATTTTCTTATCTATGAAATGGGAAATAAAAATCTTCCTTGCCTACCAAATTGAGGGGCTGTTCAAAGAAGAAAATAACTTTGAAATAGTCTATTATAAAATAGCTTAATTAAAAATCACAAAGTAAAGAACCAGGATATAAGACTGTATACAATATGGCCTCAATTATGTTTTTTTTTTAAGCAGTGGTAAAAATGGGAGAAGATACATTAAAATGTGATACGTGGATATATGTGTTACACATAGGTGATGGAATTATAAGTAATCATTACTACCTTATTTATCCTCTTCCTGATTTTAACAGGATTTTCACTAATAGGAAGTAAAATAAGCTTTTGATAAAAATAACTAGCATAGATGATTGAGCAATATCCTATCACATGCACTTGTACGACTGAAAACTGCATGATGGGGGAGCAACTGGAGTCAAATTACCTGTCAATATGTCAAGGCCAATCTGAGAGTCAGAACCCAATAAATCAGTGCTTTGGCTCTAAGGAATTTTGGTCTAGGGGTTCCTCATCATGAAGGGGCATATGACTAGTTTGACCAGCACAGCTTCTCATATTCTAGGATCTCTCCAAGACAGTGGGAGCTCTGTAAACTGTTGGGTTGG